ACAAGAAGCATTTTTGAAAAAAAAAGATGATTGACTTAAAAAAACAAATTTGCTATTTGTACACATTCTAATATCCACCCTATACACACTATATATATCTAAAAAATTACCCCTCCCCTTAGCTGAAAAGTTACCCACCAGGTCACTCCCTTCCTTCTCTCTCGCCACTCATCCTCACTCCCCTCCCCTTCCTCTCTCTTTTCTTTCTTCTTTCTCATGTACGCCATTTTTTTGTTCTTCTTTTTTCTTCTTCCTATTTTTTGGCCACATAAATAAAAGCTTATGCTCTTGTTTTTCCCTCGAGCAAATTTACTACCTTGCCATCTTCCTCAGATCTGCTACTTTGATGATTTTTTTTCTTGAGATTGAGTTCGTGTTGGGCGTTCGAAGGATAATCAAAGACAAAAAGTTCTGCATCCGGAAAGAATGGAAGCTCGGGTTTAAATTCGGGCCAGATTTCAATCCTAGATTTCAAAACCAGGGTAATTATCTACTCCATTTTTATGCTCATACAGGGTTATGATTTGTTTCAAATTTAGTAAATTATACATGCTATGACGTTGAATTATTGACTATTTTGTTTCATTGATATAGGTTTATGATGTAAACCTTTGAAATTTAAGTCCTATTGTATTTCAATTTTCCATTACATATTTGTTGAAATGTTTGAATGATTTTTTTTCATATATTAGAAGTGTTTTGGTATGTGCTTTTATGTTTATTGGGGATTAGATTTTTATTTATTTATTTTTACAGTTTAAAGCATGATATATGTTTATTGTTGACTATTCATTTGTAAGTATCAATTGGATATCAAAACATTGGTCTCTAATCTTGTTGTTCATGCTTAATTTCTGAAAACAATATGAATGGGGCCATAATAATGGTAAAACGCTATAAAGTGTAAAATGCTAAACTGAGGTATGTTTAAATCTCGAAAGATAGTTTTTAAGATCACTTCAACTTTGTTTAAAGCAGCTGGCTTATTTTTCAGCCCGTTCCACTCTGTTTTGAAGGACTTTTTAATCAAAAAGTTTAAATTACTTTGTGTTCAATGGCCAAACAAGTACGTAATTTGCACTGATTTGAATTCTAAACTGCAACCAGGTGGTAGGATGGCCACCCATAAAAGCCAACTAAAAGCCAAATGATGAACAAGATGGAGCCGTGAGTTCAATTATGCAAAAAAAAAGGAAAATGAAGTATGAGAATTGCAAGGGGGGTTCTCCTAAATGCCTGGGATTTGTCAAGAATGTGGGTGGACTTCCAATTGGAAGAAAGGTGGATCTAAATGCTCACTACATGTCTGGAATTTCACTTGTTGCAAAAACCACTGTTGGTTGCTTCATCTCGAGTCTCGACTTGCAGAGTTGGATAAGAGGATAAATGCAATATTGTGCTATTAATTTTTGTAATTAGTTATATTGTGAGGTTAATGTTCTTGACAAATAGTGTAATTAAAGTTGTTTGTGCTTTCAAAGTTTATCTTTTGTATTATGAAAATGACTTTTGAATGATGTCAAAGGAATTGCAGTTGTGCTATTAATCCGAGTGTAATTACCGTAATGCTTTTTAGCTTAAGAAGGTGATTCTCATATAGAAAGGATGTCTATGATGCTCACAAACAAAATAATTATTAATCTTAGATAAGCTTGTTGTCTTGCACAGAAAATATAAACGATCGCACAGACAATAAACTTAGCTTCTTTAAGTGAGTATTGTCTATGACCAGACGATTCATATCTGCTGGTTCACAGACACTTCCACTTACCATATTAGCCCGCTCTAGTGGCTATCGTCTTTGACCAGACACTTCATATCTGGTTTACAGGCAATTCCACTTACCATATTATGGTATTGTAGTGGCTATTTTCCATGGCCAAACAATTCATATCTAGTTCACACACAATTCCACTTAACACATTAACACATTTCAATGGTTGTTGTCTATAAATATTGATAAATAACAAAAAAGATCAAAATTTTCATTCATTACTCAAATTGTTATACAAAAGATTCTAAAATAACACCAGTTATATAAATTTAAAATATGCATTTTTACAATATGACAATTGTATTTGCAACAAGTCAGAGGTCCTTATTTCTCCAAACAGTATAAACAAACAATATAAATAAACACATAGGCGACTATTATAAGAATTAACATAACAGAGGTATACTAATAATTAATAAACTATACTAGTTATGTAATAGGTTAATTAATACATGCAGTTGCATTTTCTCCTGTTAAAATAACACTTTCTGTTAAAACTAGGAGACCTTAACTCTATTATAGTACAAGATATTTTGATAAAACGTTCGTGCCTAGTTCAGCCAGTTCGAAGTGCGCCCAACTATAAGTATGTCAATACTCTCTCTTTTCGACTCTAAGTCAACTTTGAAGGTGTCACCACATATCTTGCTCAAACTGTCCACCCGCGGCACATAGCTTCTCAAACCTCCTAAATAAGTGAAAAACATCCTGAATATGGAACCAATAAATCACATTTTAGTATTCCATTCTATTTGGTAGTGAAACTGTAATTGCCACAATGCACTAGTATGGCCTCATGAATCATAATATAATGCTAAGCACTTGCTGTATAAGAAAGTACTTTTGATTTTCTGCGATCCAATTATGAAAAGAGAAAACAAATGTAAGGTAATTGTAATTTATGTAGATAAAGAAAACTAATTATCTTAATGATCTTATTCTTCAGTTTGCTACATAAATGAGGAGGTTAAGCATTAACAAGTCTTATTTGATTGGTAGCTTCTCTTTTGACTCCAGGGTCGAGCCAAATCTAGCACCAACTACAAACTCCATCTAACAAATACAAATACTACAAGTATAAGGAAACTCACAAGATAAAAGTAATAAAGGGAATTTCATTAAATCTCAAGTAATAAATTATGTAAATGAAATATTAAATCAGTGGGACATTCATAACAGTTAGACATTCATACTACGTGATACAGATGTAGGCAATTTAAGCAAAACAACAAAAAGTGATACTAAAAAATGTATAGCACGCCTTATGAAATTTTAGGAGTTTCCTCAGTTTGACACAAGATAGACTTCAAGAAACAATTATTATAAAAATAGTTGAAACAGGAGGATATCTCATTCTTGACTCTAGGAGAAAAAAAGAATAAAACAGGCCAGTTGTTTTGATATCCAATTGACACTTACAAATAAAATAGTCATACATTAACATATACAGAGTATAAATGATGTCTCCCCACAACTCCAACATCTTCTCCTACATTCAAATTGGGAAACAGGAAAATTAGATTCTTGAACTAATTAACAAAAAAAGATCAGGCACAAAAAAGGAGAGTAAAAGTCTTGTATGTAAACAAAAAAATCATTTAGTAATTTCAACAAACATGTTATGAGCACAAATGTGAAATAGAGTAATTGAATTAAAATTTCAATAGTTAACCCTACATTCTCTTACAATAATACAAAATATAGAATATTGCCCAAAATCGGACTAAAAAGGTTTGAAAATTCCAAAATAGGACTGTCATGTTTTTATTATCAAAATAGGACTAATTACTGTCATGTTTTGGCAGTACCAGTCTTCAAACATGACAGTATTTTCCAAACTTGGCAGTAATTACTCATATTTTGGGAATAAGAACATGACAATCATATTTTGGAATTTTCAAACTGGTTTAGTCCTATTTCGGGAACTTTCCCTACAAAATATTCAACTAATCAGTGTTATACCATACATTTTACACAAATAATCAGATATTTTAGATAAGGTAGATTCTATGGTACCCATAATGTACCATACTTTTGTTCACATGAACCAATCAAAATGATGCAATTGAATTATTTAAGTCTAAATTAAAAAGGATATGATGATTTGGACCAAACAAATGCATGGTAGGTACAGTCCCCCATTTTTTAAATGAGTACCAGAGTTGTCACCTGTAAATAAACAAAACCCTAAAGTGCAATAGAAAAATCGAATAGGTTACTACCTCAATTTATGGGCTGGTTGATGGGGAAAAATTGACCGTCTCATTCTCGCCCCTTGAACTTATTCCATGTGCATACTCACCGCTTATGGGCTCGGACTTGAAGATAGGTGACCACCTACGTGTTTATTTCTAAAATTTGGGAATGGAGAAACGGAGTGGAACGAGAAGGAAGGAAAAAGAAGATAGAGAGGAGATGAGCGGAGAAAGGATGTGGCGTAGGAGAAGGGACGTGAGAGAAGGGAGTGGGAAGAGAAAGCATAAAAATGAAGGATCATTCTTGGTGTACACAAGATGTACACAAAATGTGTACATTGTCTGTGTACACAGGCAATTTGGCATCAACTCCTCCCCCTGTTTTAATGAATTGCCTATGTACACAGACAACTAGGGCGGTTTTGTGTACAACTAACATACACTAAGCATTTTCGAAAAATGAAATGGAGGTAAAAAAAAATAAAACAAAGATGTGTACAAGGGCGTGTACTAATGCGTGTACAATAAGCATTTTTTTAAAAAAAACTCTCCTATGCACGGCAAGAAAAACAAACAAAGTTACAAATGGAAAAGGCTAAAGGGTCAAATAGGCCCTTGAACTCACTTAAAGTATTCATTTAGCCCCTTATATAGGAGGTTCTGCCCGGTCGTCGCTAATTGGGGCGGTTCCCGGTAGAATTTTTTGATGAAATTTTTTGAACATCTTCTTCATTAAGTCTAGTTTACCCATACCAAATTTCAGCTAAAAATTCAACCGGGAAGGCAGTCAAATGATTTTCCGAAATGTACTGCGCTGTTTAACTTCGCAGTTATCTTTAAAAAATCATTTGTCCGCCTTCCCGGTTGAATATTTAGCTGAAATTTGGTATGAGTAAACTAGACTTAATGAAGAAGAAGATGCTCAAAAAATTTCATCAAAAAATTCCACCAGGAACCACTCCAATTGGCGACGTCCCAGCAGAAAATTTTACATTGCCTATTTGACGCTTTAGGCGATGTAAAATGTGAAAAAGTGAGCGACCACTCACCCAAACGAGTTGACTCTGTACTCCCCAGTTCAGCTCACCTCTTTTTCCCCTCACTCCTCCTGGTATCCCCACTCTCCTCTTCCCCAAAATTCATTACATTTCCCAGCAATTTCTGGACCGGGTACCAGAGGAGTAACCGAAGAAGATGGGTTCGCTTGGCAGGGCAATCTACACCGTCGGATTCTGGATCCGGGAGACTGGTCAAGCCCTCGATCGCCTGGGCTGCCGCCTCCAGGGAAACTACTACTTCCATGAACAACGTACGCCACCCTGGGCACTCAAGTTTTCTTCTTTTTCCCCCTCTTTTTTTTGATAACTTGGCATCTCAAAGTTAATTGGTATGTCGTTTCATCAATCTTCTAGGAAGTTGAAAAATTAGGGTTTATCTGTCTCATGACGGCACTTTTTACCGGATGTTAGTGAGTGTTTGTATACCGTGAGCTTATCATTCTTGGACACTCTAATCTTGTGTGGTGTTTTAAATAATTTGTGTTCAATTGTATTGGATATTTGAATTACTTTACTGATGCGAAGATGTGAGTTTCCAGCTCTGCATAATATCTAATTGCTGAATCTGTCTTCTTTTCTATCCAGTTTCTCGACACAGAACCCTTATGAACTTGTTCGATAAAGCTCCTACTGTTCATAAAGAAGCATTCGTAGCTCCTAGTGCTTCTTTAATTGGCGATGTTCAAGTTGGGCGCAGTTCCTCTATCTGGTATGGATGTGTTCTACGAGGTATGATTGAATTGTTACAATATCATGTTGTTAGGTGTAGATGTCAAATTGTCCTATCTTGGCCCTTCTTGAAATACATCATGCTTTTTTTGAATTGCTATAAGAGACTAAGAGTGTTGAGCTTGCTATTTGATTGTTGTACTTAAACATGGCACCTAGTGGTTTTTTCACTGGTTGAGCAATAAAGTGGTAAGGAACCAGTGAGGGGAACATACCTGTTTTTAGTTAAGATCTGCCTAGGACCACAATGGTTGGAAAGTAGTGTGGTACGAACTAGGAAGATAGTGGCGCCTAGTGATTGTAAAGAACCATAAGGAATGCTCTGATTGCTCTCATATGGTTCTGAGGTCATTTCAGTGAACTTATCAGTTTTACAGCTTGTAGAGAGAGAAATGCAATCTTTGGAAAATCTTATGGCCAAATTGGTTCATTGTGCCTTATAGTTGTAAGACAATCGGAAAACATGGCATGACTAAAAATTGGAAGTTTAGAGTAGGAGTTCCCAGGTGACCTGAATCTTACAAGTCAGGATTGGTCAATGACATCACTGTGCCTTTTCTTTGTTTGATTTACTCCTTCTGCGCCCATAATAGACAATCTTTAAGGTACAGTTTCTTAATCTTTGGTACAGTACAAGTCACATATTATCAATCCTACATTTTATAAAATTTATTTATTTCTTAACTAAATGTCGTCGTCATCATCATCACTACCCCAGTGCCGCAAAGGCCCCCACCTACGGTGGTCGGTGGGGTAAGGGGTGTCGGATGAACGCAGCCTTACCCCTGTACTAAAGCACAAAGAGCCTGTTTTCGGATGACCCATAGTGAAAATCGCATCGAAAATTGCATGAAATGAGTGATGCTTCATAACAAAGAATCCCAGACAGTTTAATGAGTCATTTTGCTTTATTCCATCATATTCCCAAGCAAAAAAAAATAATGAGTCTTTTGCTTCATTGCAAATGATGCAAATGAGTCTTAACTAAATGTAACATACTTAATTTGTTTGGAAAGATTACATTCAATTCAATGAAGGTTGGTTTCTTTTATCAAACCAAGACTCATTTTTTGGGCAAAAATAGTTATCCAAGCAATAGTTTTTTTTGGACGGGATGCATTCATGTCAAGCTCTCAAGATGCATCTACATCACTGCATGTAAAATGTTTCCCACTTATTTGCAACTCATTTATTTTTCCATGGATTTTTTATTTCACTATTTCTCTAATCTCTACGATTATAAATATTTGTTGCAGGTGATGTGAACAATATAAGTATAGGGACAGGAACCAACATCCAGGACAATTCTCTTGTTCATGTAGCCAAATCCAATCTTGCTGGAAAGGTTTTGCCAACAATTATTGGGAACAATGTAACTGTTGGTCAGTGATTATAAGTTTACTATGTGTATTTTCTATGTCATTTTCTAGGAGAATTCCCCCACGAGGTATTGTATTGGTAACATATGAAGAATTCTAACTGTTTGACACCGAATTGTAAAAAAAGGTCATAGTGCTGTTCTGCACGGGTGCACTGTTGAAGATGAGGCATTTGTTGGTATGGGTGCAATATTGCTTGATGGGGTTGTTGTTGAGAAGAATGCCATGGTAGCTGCCGGTGCTCTTGTTAGACAGAACACTCGTATCCCTTGTGGAGAGGTTTAGTCCCTTTATTTTTTCCAATAGTCAACTCTTCTGGCATTTGACATAACAGTATTTGATTTGTAGAAATGGAAAGTTGAAGTCTAGTATTTGAACCACCTTTGATTAGTTTGTTAAAGTAGCAGTGACTGAACAATTGACTTATCCAAAAAGGGATTCTTTTTGTATAAGAGATTGCGCAAGTTCTTTCCACTAATAATATATCCAACTCACTGCATTTGTACTAAAATAAGGCACCTCTTTCCTTTCAAGGGAAGAATGACACAACTCATATCATTTCCTTCTCCTTTAGATATATCTCAATCACACAATTTCAAATTTCTTTATGAGTCTGTTAAGTAAAACCAAGAACCTCATTTTGGGACAAATTGAGTTAGCTGACAATGTGACAAACATGCCCCTTTCTGTGTCTAGGTATTAAAGGTAGCAAACAAAAGTAAAATAGGTATGCAAGGGCAACTTGGTCATTTAACTAAGCTTTGTTTTTTTTAGTTTGCTAAATTTAGGAGTGAAACAAATCCTCTAGTTATTGATTGCTATTTGAAGTAGGAGAAAATTATTCTAGGTATGACTAAAAGTCCATCACTTTCCCAAACTGACCCTATTAATTGTTTTCCTATTCTAACATATCTATATCATGCATGCTGATCCCAATGTCAAGCATATTGATTCTTTTTTATTCAAAATGGTTGCTCTCTATCTTAAATATAGGAAGTGATTAATTCTTCCTATTTATCTGAAAGTGTTTTAGGTTATTAAGCCATGCACCCCCATGTATGTCATATTAAGCTGGTCATACTATACATGTAAAAACATCTATAGTCATATTTTAGGTAAAGCCATGAGTTTTACTAATATTTAGGTATTTTTCCCTTGAAGTAGCTCATGAAGTAATGATTTTTCTATAGAGAGGACTGCCCTCTCTCTTACAAAAAAGATGCCATTTACCAACATGTGATGTCTAAATTGATGGGACCGACACTTGGAAATTTTCAACTTTGTGTCCTGTCAATTTGAACCAAACCACACAATGGCACTTAGAAACCATACTCATCATAACAAAGCTATGGAGAGCACAGCCCTACAATGGAATGTCTCGATAAAGTAGTGTCAATTGACTACTTGCCTTGCTAGAAAGATGTTCAGAAGAGCTCATGTAAGAGTGCGCATAGGGGTTTTCATCTGAGATTAGCCCACTTGAACTTTTTGAAGTGACAGCATCATTTACCAACATCCCAGTGACCAAATAAATTTAATGTCTTTAAATCTTGGTACCTGTGCAGTTGTGCTTCTTATAGTAAATTCAATGGGGGTTTTATGAACGTGATGAAGGTTGTTTACATGATGTGCTTTGAATTTCTTGCTATCAAGCATAGGTATGGGGCGGAAATCCAGCAAAGTTCCTAAGGAAGCTTACCGAAGAAGAAACAGCTTTTATTTCTCAGTCAGCCCTCAATTACACCAACTTAGCACAAGTTCACGCAGCTGAAAATGCTAAGAGCTTTGATGAGATCGAATTCGAGAAGGTACTCCGGAAGAAATTTGCCCGCAAGGATGAAGAATATGATTCTATGCTGGGTGTCGTCCGCGAAACACCCACAGAACTTATCTTGCCTGATAATATTCTACCAGATAAGGCAGCATCAAAGGCTTCTTAAGTTTGTTGATTATGATCAGGCTATCATTGTTGTTATATCACAAATTCGAAGGCAAATTAACCAAGAACTTGCCTTTGCTTTCATGTCTAATAATTTTATGGCCAAACTCACTTGTCAAAGACTGACTCTTCCCCATGTGCAGTTACTGCATGACTTTTACTATTTGCTTAACCACAAACTTGGTTTTGCCACATTTCAAACATGTTTTTTTGAGTGTTTATTTCTTCAAAATAAGAACATGCAGAAGAATTTTCTTAAAAGGAGTAGATCGATTTCTATTTTGAGCTAATTCACACTTAGATTTGGAGTAGATTGTACCATACTGCATTTCATTGGTCCATGTCATTGTTTATTTCATCATTTATTTACATGTAATTACAGTTTTTTTTTTGTAATTACATTTTTTTGTGATTACAAGTTACAACTGCTATATTTTAATTGGTTAGTGAACACAAATTGTGGTATGGTTGAGGTATAGTTTATTTAATTTGATGTAAGATAAAATGAAAATAAAATGAAAATAAAATGTTCGAAATTTAAGTTGTGGTCTAAATGAACCTAGTCATGGACCCGGGCCGGGCTATGTTTTTGGGAAGGAAGAACCGGAACCGGTCCGGGTAGGCAGCGGTTCCGCACTGTGACGGTTCATGTTATTTTTTTTAAATTTCTTTTGCTTTTCTAATTAACCCCTGACCCCCCCCCCTCACCCCCACCCCAAACCCCCCCAAACACCCAGACCAACCCGAGAGAAACCAAAAAAATTGAAAAAACCCCAAAAAAAAAAGAAATAGGCTGGGCCAGTTTCGAGCCGGTTCCACTTTTAGGAGGCCCGAGCCCAGCCTGATTAATTCCGGGTTTGGGTGGCCTGGACCGGTACTATAACCGGGTACCGCCGTACCGGGCCGAGCCCAAACAGTATCGGTTTTAGGTTGGTTTTGGGCCGGGTGGCCCGACCCGAGTACATGACTAAATGAACCCCAATTTGATCTCAGACGAATACAATGAAAACAAAAGTTACTCGTATGTTGAAATTTATTTAGACACATGATAATTTCCTAAAACGAAAACAACGTAGAGTTTTAGAATGGACAAAAATAGAAAGTGTGGACATTTTGGGACTACTGGAGTAGGCATGGACTGGTTTTGGGTAGGCATGGACCGGTTCCGGGCCGGTCCAAACCGGGCTTTTATTTTTTGGGGGCGGGCTCGGAACCGGCCCCGTTTGCAATCGGGCCTGGGCTGGTCCGGGCCGGTTCATTTTTTTCTATTCTAATTAACCCCCACCCCCAAAACCCCCCCAAAACACCTAGCCCAACTCGGTAAAAACAAAAAATATTGAAAAAAACAAAAAAAATTAAATAGGCCCGGACCAGGCCCGACCGGGCTGGTTCCAAAGGAACGGTAGGCCCGGAACCGGACCGCTCTAACACACCGGGCCGGTCCGCCCGGTTCCCAGTTCGGTTCACCGGGCCGGTTCACCGGGCCGGTCCGATTCTAAACAGTACCGGGCACGGTCCGGACCCAGGTCGGGCGGCCCGGTTTTAGTCCATGGCTAGTTCCTGGCTGGGCCGGGCCGGTCCAAACCGGGCTTTTATTTTTTGGGGGCGGGCCCGGAACCGGCCCGGTTTGCAACCGGGTCCGAGTAGGTCTCAGGCTGGTTCATTTGTTTTTGCTTTTCTAATTAACTCCCGACCCCCCCACCCCCCATACACACCCAAAACACCTAGCCCAACCCGGAAAAAAACAAAAAAATTGAAAAAAAAAAATTAATAGGCCCGAATCAGGCCCGACCCGGCCGGTTCCAAAGGAAGGGTAGGCCCGGAATCGGACTGCTCTAACACACCGGGCCGGTCCTAGGCCTGGTTCCCAGACCAGTTCACCAGGCCGGTCCGGGCCCGCACAGTGGCGGGTCAGGCCGGTTCCCGGGCCTGGCCGACCGGAATCGGTCCATGCCTATACTAGAGTAGTATAATAGTCAAGTAAGGATGTTTTCTTTTTCGACTGTTTTCGGTCCCTGACCAGACTTCCGGATTTATAAAATACACAGAGACCAGACGTTTATCTGACTAGTTCAAACTAGACCTGATGGAGTATATGGCCCAGGAACCCCCGGCCCATAGACTCCTACTTCTCCTACACAAGTCCATTGGGCCTAGAGAACATCTCAGGCCCAAATGCAACGGCCCAAACCTCAAAGAAGCCCAGAATACGCACTGGGGTGCCTTCGGCCTCCTTGGCCGAAGGCTCCAAAACTCACAGGATAGCCTTTTTTGGGCATACAAAGCTACTGGGAGAAAACGGCGAAAAAGGAGCCTTCGGGATTATCGCGCCCTCGGCATCAAGAAGCCTTCGGCCACACCGAACCTTCGGCCACATGGAGCCCTCGGCTACTTAAAGGGTCTTCGGCCAAACACACTCAATCATCGAAGATTCCCTTTGGAGACAGCCAACCACAGCATTTAATGCGACGTCACATCCGCCAACCGCATTTAATGCGGTGAACATGCCACTGCCGGTGCCACCCCGATTGTTGCGACCCCTCGGCCGTTGGATTACTGACACGTGTACTCTCATCGCATTTATTGCTGCTATAAATAGCAGCCCATTTCTCCTTGTAAACGATCCCAGATCCCAGATCTCACACGCTGAGTTCATTTAATAAAATTGACTCTCTCTCCTCCTATTTACTCTGACTTCTCTCTAAGTTATTCCCGCAATAACCCCTCGGATAAGATACCCCCCGGGTAGACTGTCCATCAAGACCAGACTAGCAAATTTCAGTCCAAAAGAAAACATCCTAAGATAATACTCCCTCCATGGCTCCATACTATTGGACTTTACTAATTTTCTTTGTTTGTTTGTTCCAAAAAGCTATGCCACTTTCCTTTTAAGGTAATGAATTTATGATTCTGTTCATTTCCTTTTCCTCTATATAAACCTCAACCACATAGTTTTCATTATTCCAATTTCTTAATCAACATCAACTTGGCAAAGTTGATTAAGACAGAGGTAATAATAATCATTAACCAATATATGACATGTTTTCTTAATCCATTGTATGATTTAAGGGGTGTTTGAAATTGATGCTGCTTCTTCCCAAAAAAAATTGCCTCAATAAAATAATATGTACTTTTTAAAGGAGTAGTGCCTCTTGTCATTCAAATAATTCACATTAAAAAAATATTTTTATCATTACAAAAACTTACTAGAAATTGGATAATGAACAGTTAAAACTTAAAACCAAACTATAGGATTAATGAGCAGAAAAGGGAAAGGAATTGACAGACACTCGACCTGCCGATTTGGCCCGCATATGTCAGCTAATCGGTTAGGCTGATCAACTTTTTATAATCAAAATGCCCTAGAGTTCTAGAAAGCCATTTAAATTTTTAGACACTAATATACGAGTAAAATATACGGAGTAACTAAGATGCTAATACATGAGTTAATGTTATGGAATTCTATAAATATGAGTAATAATGTGTGATTAGACAAAAGTATCATTGTATTTACTATTTAAAGTGGTGGCTCCGTATTTCGACACACATTTGATGCGTGTTGAAATCGGCTCCTGAAGGTTTTTCTAGCTCAAGTAATGGTTGATCACCACCTAACTCGCCCGTGACATATATATAATTCCTGGACCATAAAAGAATAGATCGACCATACTCGACTTATGCACCAATGCAAATCAGATTAGACCAGACTTGAATAGTTATTTGTAAAATGCACATAAACAGGACATCCATTAGACCAATTCAGATTAGACCAGATCTGAACAAACCAGATTAGACGATCAAAAGTTCAGTTCAATTAAAAACATCATAAAAATGAAGTCTATTCTTAATGCAATGAAGGACTACGATCCCTTAGTCCATTTTTGGGCGATCTTAAAAGTTAAAAATATACACTTTCTAAATTGAAATTCATTACTAACAGGTCCTCAAAACACTCTTTTTACTTTATTTTTTAGGAAAAATAATTTGAATAATACCAAGTATCATCCATAAACCAATTATAATACATACTTTGAAAATGATTTTTTTTAATACCAACTATTTGAATGTAAAACAAAAATAATATGGAGTCACTTTTTGACAAGAAATCCGGTCATTTAAGACATAAAAAACAAATGACAACACATCAAATAAATGATATTTTAAAATACATTCACTTATTAGATGTTTTCATACAAGCTTTTGATGAGTTAAATGATTGATTTTTTTGAAAAAAAATTGCTGTATATCACTTTTGGTCTATATTTATATAGTTTATATTATTAAAACTTATTACCAATTTAAAGTACATATTCTTATTGGTTCATGGTTCATGGAAGATAGTTTGTATTATTTAAAGTTGTTTTCCCTATTTTTATCTACCACTTCATCTTTTATTCTTAGAATTATTTTTCTTACTTTTTGAAGATTACAATAAAGAACAATAACATATTTTGTTTTCTTAATTAAAATCCACGTCAAAATAAAAATACTAGCGTATAGTACAGTATATCTTAATGGTGGAGTGTATATATATATATAGGCAAAAGGGTCAAGTAGGCCCTTAACTAGCTTAAAGCGTTCAATTAGCCCCTTATATAGAAGGTTTAGCCCGGCCATCGCCAATTGGGGAGGTTTTTGGTGGAATTTTTTGATGAATTTTTTTGAGCATCTTCTTCATTAAGTCTAGTTTACCCATATTAAATTTCAACTAAAAATTAAATCGGGAAGACAGTCAAATTATTTTTCGAAATGTACCGCACTGTTTAACTGCACATGACAGTTATCTTTAAAAAATCATTTGACTACCTTCTCGGTTGAATGTTTAGCTGAAATTTGGTATGGGTAAACTAGACTTAATGAAGAAGATGCTCAAAAAATTTCATCAAAAAATTCCACCGGGAACCTCCCCAATTGGCGATGGACGGGATGAACCTTTTATATAAGGGGCTAATTGAACACTTTAAGCTAGTTCAAGGGTCTATTTGACCCTTTAGCCTATATATTTATAGTCTTGGACTCTGGAGTTTATAACTATTGGATGGTACAGCAGTGAGTAGCTCATATACCTACTTTTGAAATTCATGTTAAGGAGGATCAACTCTAATACATATTCCTTTACTAAATATTTCTTTTTTTAAATTTTAGCTATATCTAAATTAGATTTAGAGTTTTTTTTGAAAGAAATTACAGCTAGAGTTTTTTAAGCATCCATCTTATGATAAATCAAGTAAAACCCTCCCCATGCCACAAGCCAATCATACACCTAAAAAGAGTTCGATCATGTCGTGAAATGGCTCTTTGGTCCGGGTCTAAATGTGTAACACCGCCCCCAAGTAA